ATGTAAAATTAGCCCTAAATTTATGTTCAAACAATGTTGGTACGTAAAGTTCATTTTATTCCTCCAAAGAAAAAGTTCATCTTATTTTAACAATATGAATGCATTTTTCATGAATTGTGTTTAATTGTGGCCATTTATAGAGCAAAATCTCATATTTAAGTTGTTTTTTTTTACTTGGATTGTTTTCAGCTTCAAACCAAGTCAAACTAGACTAGATCAAATCAGACTTAAACGGATCAGGGCAGACCATACTTAAGCAGACTAGACCAGACCAAAATTCGAGAGTTATAAAATATACAAAGACCAGTCATTTACTAGATCAGACCAAATAAAAAACAATCGATCCAATTAAAAACATCCTTAGTTTAATATATTCTCCTTTAATGTACGATAAGCTGTAAATAAGGGTCATCAAACGGGATCTTAGATTAGGGATATGTGTGATACTTCGAGATGTAGGTGGAGGCTAATATCTAGATTAAGACTACTGTTTGAAGTAAAGACTATTGTCAAGAATTGAATTTTGAAATACTGCATTTGAACTATTAGTTGGATGGAGTAAATTTGTTTGACAAAAAGAGTTAAAAAAAATGCTCAGATAATATGAACTCACCGGATTAGATCATACAAATCAGACCAGATCTGATCAGAACACACAAATGAGAAAAAAATCAATTCAATTAACAACCTTTTTAATAAAGTTCTTCCTGAAATTTAGTACTGCATATATATTAGGTTAGATTTCAATAAATCTCCCGAAAGTATTCATGAGTAAAATTTGGTGTTAATTAGCTTATTATGGAGTTATAACGACTATACAAGCAGAAGTGAGATAGACATACACAATTAAATTAGCTTATTATGGAACTAATCATTCATATTTTAAAAGTACTCATGAGTAAATTTTTAATTGTCACAAAAAATTGAGATGATAACACATGATTTGGTAGTAAAATTCAAAAAGGGACTTTAAAAATTATACAAGAAACCTCAAAAAACTAATTATTTGATAACAATCTAATTAAAAAAACAGATCTTAAAAACATTTTAAAATCATGAATACGAATTTTATTCATGCATGAATCTACACAATGAGTTCATTTAACTCTATAAGTGAGTGTTTCAAAATAAAGATAAGATGTGTTTAAAAGCTCCAAGCCACCAACTTCTCAATGAGTTTGTTAAGCTAGAATAGAATTGTGTAGCCTATAGTATTCATTTTTGGATTTTTAAATTGTAGCCATACAACTTTAATAATATCAATATACTTGAAAACTCAAATTTTCATGAATTATATCCTAAGGATCACTATATAAGTCTATCACAGAGATAGCGAGATCACTCTTTATAACTTTGCCAATCACATATCTAATGGAAATGTTCATACTCAATTAACTTAATTAGAAATATAGAATATAATGTCATATTTCACTCCATACATATATGCATCCTTCATACCAAATATTTAAACAATTGAAACAATATTACTGACCTCTAAACCCGGAATGCCCATACATGTATTGTCACACAAATCTTTGAAGCTTTTTAAGTATGAATCCAGATATCAACTTTCTCAAAAAGCAATGTGCATACGTTGTAGAATTATTGGATAATATTGCATCTAAATAAATCTTAGTGTCTCTTAAAGATATTATTAAAGTATGATAAAACAATAACATTATAATCCAAACTAATGTATTTAAAATAATTCTTTCATTTATGTATTGTTGACATGAAAAATCTAAAACCTAAAAGTCATCTTATATGGAACAAAATTGAAAACCCAAAAGTAGAACACAAAAATTTAATATTCGAATTATATCAACAATATATATCGATATGTACTCACCACAAATGAAATCAAATAATAATACAACCTTATTATATTTCAAACCAATCAACCTGAGACCATTATTGCAACTTTGGTAAATTACATATCGTATTTTCGTGGAATAACGATCAATGATCACCCGACGTAAATAAAACCCAAGAGTCGATTACAATCACCTCGAAGATATTCATTTTGTGTGCAATGGTAAACCCTAAGAAGTAACACAACCCCTTTATATAAGTTGTCCATAACAAGCAACATTTTTTTGTTCAATAACACATACTTTACTTAATAAGATCATATATACCTTAAATTAATAACTCAAATTTAATGAAAAGTAAATCGATCACTATCAATCACAATATACAGCCTATTGTTGTTGTCATCGCCTTCATTAATCAGAATATAACAAAACTATATATTATAAACTCTTTTCTTAAAAAAATTGCTCTTTCATTGGAAAATATAGTGTGGAAAGCTGTTGAGATAATTAGTACAAAAATAGGACATAGTCAATAAATTAAAATTTGCATTATAAACCAATGTTATAATTGACTAAAAAATGATTTTCCGTTAGTAAAACTAAAATGCAAAATCATTTTATCCCGTGCACGGCACGGGTAAAAATACTAGTAAAGTTATATAAGACCGATTATTTCAGAATACAATTATGCCCGCATATTCAATATCTACTTCCTTACAACTAAATGCCCATTTGTATGGAATGAAATAATTACATCATGTTGGGTTCGAACTCGTTTGATTTAATAAAATGAGATGGCCCGATCTATAGGGATGGCTTGATTCATAGGGTTGGATTCAATTTTATTTTTCAAAATCTGAAATCACAATTTAGTTGGTTCGGTTATGGTGTTTTTTATTTTTTTCCAAAAAACCATTGTTAGAATAAAAATAGACATAGCAATCTCAAAGGATAAATAAAAAAGCAAAAATTAATAGCAACAATGGAGACATACAATAATTAACAGCAACACAATACAAAAAAAAATTAAATATAAAACAAAAGAAACCAATATGTTGTAACTAAATATTAGAGAACACATAAGTGCAAACACTCGACTCTCAAGATACGCGCATGTGCTCAACCGCCGCATATGTGCATGTGCATGCAAATCCAACCATGTCTTCTTCAATCGAAAGGGTACAGAATGTTATTATCATGGAAATTATGTTGGAATTTGCGACAGTAGTTCACTTCATGACCAAAGTTGTCATTGAATCAACAAAAAAGGGAAGTCAAACCATTTTTGGATTGGGAGAGGTGATTATTGTCTCGTCCGTGACAAGTTGCAATGCCTTGTCTATCTAGATTGTAGTTCAACCAAGTGTGTGTCATTCATGGTTGGGAGTGATCCTGAATTTGTGGTGGTTGCTTCTTGGAGTCAATTCTCATGTTCTCAGAGAATTGTTTATAGTTTATGTCGTGGTAGTGGGTGGGACGAACCCTTGGTGTGAGTTTGCAATATTTAGGTCCAAGCCCATTCACGATGTTAACAACAGGATCCTCGGATAGGGGACTATGACCAATTTGAGTGCTAATGCATCAGATAAAACACTTCTTTTAGCCAGTTATTGTGTGATAATATGTTTGCCTTTGATAAATTGGTAGTCCTCAGAAGTGTAGTTTTGAGTGAGATGATGCGTCTACGGGGTGTGGCATAGGCAAAACTCAATTTATCCCACGACAGGCGTGCGGTTGATGCAGGTGTATGGCATTGTATTTGAATATCTACCAAGTAAGGCATTGAGAATGGTTTTGACTTGGCGGTACTAGATAGTATAACATGGATTTGTTTCAGATTTCCCAGCATCCGTAAATTGGTTTGGTGTTATGATATTATCATCAATGTATCCTTTAAGTCCAAGTCCAACAAAATTGATATGACAGTGGAATTTCCAAATAGGGAAATTAGACAGCGTTAACTTGATTGGAAAGTTTGCAAGAGCAGTAAGTTAGATGATCGGGGTATCAGTGGTGATGGCCATGGAAAAAAGTAAACTCATGAAAGTATGGTTGTTGATATCAAGTTAAGGTTGAATTATATTTATCATAACTAATGATACAATGCACACTTGGGTATATATACACATGAGTGGATAGAGCCGCTCGTAACTATCTAGCTAATATAATGGGTGTGGCTACAAAGTAGGAGTTTAATGTACATCAAGTAATCTACACTACAATTGAGTAACAATTTTTTGTTGAAAGGAAGCACTCCACACTTAATTAATTCAATGCATCATTTTCCCATTCGTTGGCTAAAAGGCCTACTATAAAATTTGGCTTAAGATAAAAACTACTATCAAAATATGCACTAGAAACGACCGCCCTTGCTAATGCATTGGTAACACGATTCGCTTATCTTCTACACACTGAGCTCCAAACCCTTCAACTCACGAAGCAAAATGCTTATATATACCAGAATCAAGTCGACATAAGTAGTGCCCTGATCTTGTTAAGAGCACACCTTATTGCCTCCTTCACCCCCAACTTCATGTTCACGAGGTGGCCATTCTGTTTTTACATGCTTTCACCAAGCTTTGTAAAATCGGCCAGAACCATTTGTAGCAATTAACCTCATGCTTCTCTATAAGAAACTATGCAAGAAATGTGATTTGGTCGTTTCTTATGTTTTCATGATATTTTTGTGGGTGGAAGCGATAAAGCTTGTATGACCGTTAAAAGCTTTGAAACTTTCACATGCTTAGCGAATAGTCTCGTTCTATTTAGGATGATCTATCATGTATCTAGTCAGAGAGTGAGAGGTCCATTTGGCTATGATGAACCTCTTAGAGAAGTTTGGGATTGTGTTGTTGTGGGACCTTTCCTAACGTTGATTATTTTAATATTGAACCATGGTTCAATAGGATGAACCGATGAATTCGTTTTTTGAAAAGTTTAAGGACCAAAAACGCCATTTTTACAATAATCAGGAACTAAAGGCTGGTTTACAACTGCTTAAAAAAGGCACTTTTAAAGACTATAATTCGAAAAACACATATTGAAGTACAAAAATGTTAAACAAAACAGCTGGATTGACTTGAGGAATAATGTAAAGAAGCCTTCAATTGTGACAAAAGGCGTGATACGAATTTCTTTTGGGAACAAAAATAACACGACAAATGGTAAAACAAGATAAATGAGAAATGATAGCGGAATGCGAGTGAACTTATATACTCACGCATAATGAATGGAGATATTTATTTCATAATTACTTCAAAAGTAAGAAGATAAACTCATCCACTGAACCCCTACAGGCTACAGTATAGTCAGCTAGCCAGATTGTCAAAAATAGCATTGGTCATTTTCCAGCCAATATAAATGCACTGACAAAATTGAAAGCCAAACCCATGGGCCATGGTGCTTTAGGGAATGGAATCCTCCAGATTTTTGCACTAATCACATACTGAATATGGTAAATTTGTAAAATAACTCAAATACGAAGTATATGAGATGCTGCTAACGAAGTTATACTATTCTGCTTGCCCAGTCTACAGGTGTGGGTTTCTTAAGGCAGCCAAACACCTCTTCACTTTTCTTCAACTCCAATTCCCTTAGATTAAAGGTGTTGAAGGCATTCCCTTCCGTTCACAACACAGAATAATCTGAAGATGTAAGGTTCATTTGGATTTGTTACTTTCAAGTTTTCCAAACCCGGATTGTCCCATCCACAGATGAAGTTATCATGCAAGTCCCTTTTGGGTGATAACTTACACTGGTTACCTGAATTTAAATAAAAAAGACCCAAGGACATCAATCCAATTAATAGTAGAGAAAAATGATAAAACATGAGTCTATGCAAATGGAACTATCAGTAGAAAAATTTAAAACTGGAACTTGATTCAATATTAGATTAGGAACACAGAGCAAACACTGAATTATTGAGCATAAGAACAACATTGGCAAGGGGTCATTAATTATAAATACTACTAGCAAATATTTATCACAAAAATAATGTTGAAACAGAGCATAAGAGTAAGCAATGAATCTTCAAAAAACTGTTGGCAAATGCATTAAAAGAACAAGTGACCATTATTTCATGAGTATCATAACTATGAATCTACATTACAGTCGTATAAATGGAATTCTAAATTGTTACATGCTATACATACTCCAATATACCATCACAATCACACATTCTTACTCGACAACAGTCGAGGTGAAGTAGGGTTGTAACAAGCCGAGCCCGAACATCCAAAGCTTGAGTTGCGCTCAGTTCGCTAATAGTGTTGTTCCGGTTCGAACTCGAAGCTCAACATGCATTACATATGGGGTTCGAGTTCAGCTTTAGAGATGTTCTATGTTTGATAAGCTCGATAAATATGCTCCTGATGTAAAAGTTTAGCTTATGCTAGTCAGTATGATTATTTAACATGTACTCGATTTTTTAATAATCATTGTTTATAAAACCACACTAAAGATGTTTAAATTTTAACATATACAAGTATATAATTCGTCCCTGTAATTTTCTGGTGTTTCAATAGGATCAAGTTCAAACAGTATCGAGCACTACTATGCTCGAGCTCGGCTTGAATAAATGTTCCAACTTAAAACCTGGCACATGTTTGAGTTCGAAGCTCGTTAAGCTCATCTCGTCAGGTTCGGAATCGAGCACGAGCTTGAACGGTTTAAATAAAGCTCAGATCATTAACAGCCCCAAGGTGCAACAGTGGTAAAACATTTCCTGACCCAATTGCAGGACTGCATGCATGATACTTACATTTGTGTAAGTAGAGTAACATGAGGGAGAGAGGGACAGTAACACATGTTCAAATGTTTGATAAAATTACCACAGAAGAATGAGCTTTGAAACTGGATGTTACAGATGCATCAACCAGATCCCAGGAATAAACAAAACCATCTTCCGAGCCACCGATCACATGTGCATCGGTGTTTGTGAGACAGCAATCAGTTTTTGAAGTCTATGAAACAACAAATCTAAGTTAGAGTCTATGGATTAGCTCGAGAACAAAGGAAGAATGCATTTTTACTCATTAACTGAATAACTAATCATTTTACTACTCAATTGTGTCTTAAAAGTTTGAAAAAAATGTTATTAATTTGGGTTCATAAATAGGAAAACCATGAATAAAAAGTTAGGCCTGCAATGCTTGACTTAGAACCTTGCAAGTATGTCCCTTGTATTCTTGCAACAGTTCACCAGTAGACCTGTTAGAGCAAAGCAAAAAATCATATATTGTTTCATGAATGTATGGAAGTCTTCAAGAGCCAAGGCTGCAGAAACCTACCTATCCACAAGTCGAAGGGTTGAGTCAAGACAGCTAGCTAATATACAATTCCCATCGTTAGACACAGAGATACAGTTCACTGGTTGCCCCAAGTTATCAGATAATTCCCTGGTGAATAACACATGGTACAGTTTCTCTTCTCAATGTCTTGCAAGTATTAAACTATTAAAATCTTCGTTAAAAATAAAATAGGACCCCATTATTTGCAGTAATGCGACTTACCTACCCATTCGAATGTCAAATGTTCTAACAGTGCCATCAACGCTTCCAGCAATTATTTCAGTTTTTGTCAAACAAACTGACATGACACTGTCTAAAAATGTGCCAATGATCTGCATGTTGATGGAAAAGATTATTGACGAGCAAGGCTTGATATGAGAATGAAAAACATCAATCATGAACTGATTTGACCCCAAATGATTACTCTTGACCATTTAAATGCAAAAGATTATGGCCTGAAAAACAAACCAATAGTGGGGTATAAGAGAGGAAACAATCAGCATTTTCCAATGATAACCATCCAGCAGACATAGTCACACTACCACATAGATAGCTCACTTTATACATAAACTATATGGAGATTTGTGTTTCATTGTTTCTCTGTATGCATAGGGAATAAGTCTTCCATGTGGCATGCATTTGTAGGTTAACTCACAATGTCCACAAGTATGTTGTGATGACGCGATGTAAATGTAAGTGGCTAAAAAATGCATGCCACGTGCCAGAACTAGTGTCTGTACTCTAACCCAAGGCCCAAGGTATAAAAGTATCCATATGTTAGACTGTAGTGTGACCCACAAACATATAAGTCTCCATAAATTTGACCCAATTTAAAGCCTACACTATAATATGACAAAACCAAACAAATTTCTAACTGCTTGGGTCATTGAACATTACACAAAGACACATAACGCTAGCAAAGTATCATGATGTTTTTCACAAAGGCTGGAAAAAATAGAGTTTCAATGTCTCATTGCATGCAGTGTAACTGTGTAAGGGGAAGTTACAAGCCTGAATCGGTTCAGTGCTGTGAGATTTGCAGTCCCAAACGCGCAAGGATTTATCATATCCAGCAGATACAACCACAGAAGCATACTCATTAAACTTCACAGCGTTCACCTGGAAATGGCGCAATAAAAGAAAAGTATGAAGTAACAAAAAAGATGCTATTGTTTGTCTCAGCTACTATATATCCATATACAATTAGAAACAGAAAGCAAAACCATAGAAACACTTCATGCACAACCTGATACCCAGAACACTGCTAAGAGCATGTACTGCATGTGAAGTTGTAAACTTATAGGTATATAAAGAGACATAAACATAAGTTGGAACTCATACAAACAGGAATATCTTATCATCTCATATGTTGTTCAAATGTACTCAAAATGATTATCTTACATCAATTTTCCCACCTCAACTCGATTTGAGAGGATATGGTACGATTTCTGGTACCTAAGCATTTCTATGTTTCTAAGATATAGGATCACATGCTTTGAGCACATTTTACGAGCATCTTAAATACATCTACTCACATACATCTTTCTGAAGGCTACAATGACATGCTGCCATCATGATAAAGCCACCATTATGATACACATTGGCATAGCGGCATGCTTACAAAAATCAATCAAAAGGATTTTGAAATATCATATACTATCATTTTTGAATTCAACCAAAGACATCTTTTACCTCACTGTCATGGCCCCTAAATTTTCTAATTACACGACCAGATGCGACATCCCAGTAAAAGATTTGTCTATCTCCACCACAAGAACATAGCTTGGAATTATCCCTGCATTTTAGAAAACAGTCGAGTTCACATGCATGCAAATGTTGCAGGTAGATTCATATGAAAACCTCTGCTATATCACAGATGCTACACTTTCATTAGAATTGTAGCATTCAACAACGGTACATTAAATAAGCTACGCTTCAGCTCAAAATACTTCTGTTGTGGTGTTTACTAATTACAAATTATAGACAAGCATAATTTTTTTGTTTGTGATGATGCTTAATAATCACATTCGATCACTGGTCAACTACAAAAAATTATTCTTGCTTCAAGGGGAGGTGTGGGTAATTATGTACAAGAAAGAGTGAAATAACGAGTAAAATGGGATAAGTACGGAGAAACGTGGACGTCTCGGACTTCACGGCCGTGAGATTTGTAGGTCTTGATGTGAATTCCACGATGCGGATTCCATAGTCGGATGGTTCGATCCCTCCCGCAGCTCAAGCAATAATCGCCATTGCTATTGAACCTGGCGGCCAAAACCGCCCCTTCGTGTCCTCTCAGCACGCATGCTTCCCTGTTCGGCAGTTCCGCCGCGCTCATCGTCTTTTCCGGTGCGAATGGGCGGAAGCCGGACGGAGGAGCAGCGAAGTAGTTAAGCCCAAATTACTACCTTTTTGGGCCACATCGTCAATTTTGGGCCTTTTGGCTGTTACCTGGTTTGGATTTCGGCTAAAATCTGGGCTTTTCCAACCATACAAATGAGGATAATTCTAAATGCAGCCACACAATTGTTATTTACGGCACCTAATTAAAATTAATTAATTAAAGATAAATAGAATGTCTATTGTATCCCTTATGTCCACAACCCTTTTGCTCATCAACATCTTGGTTCCGAAGGTGCTCTGATCGGTAGCTTCCCGAGATTCAGGCGGTGCCAGCACTACCAGTTCGAAAGCATAGCCCTTCCCAAAGCCTCGCCATCTGGTTGGCCTCTAGCGCAATTGTACAGCTCTTCCCCCACATCGTCGGAGCTGTTGCGGGTGACTGAAATTCCGTTCGATCTGTTACTAAATCTAATTCATCAATGGACGTCTTTTGTTCTTCGTCTGAACTATTGGATTTGCAATTGTTTGTAATGATTTTTTTAAACTCAAATTAGATTTTTCCATTGCCCAATGTTTAGGAATTGCAATGTACACACCAATCAGGAATCCCTCCTGGGGTGTATAGTCAAAGAAGGTGTGAACTGTGAAGGATTTTCAAACACATTTAACAATCATCCGTCTGCAATACTTCAAGTCTCCAACTACGGCTCCAGGGAGCAACTAAGAGCATAGTTTAAACAATAGTCTCGTTTAAGGAGTTGATTCCGTCCCAGCCATGGAAGTTATATTCCGACATACTCATATACGGAGTATAGATACATTTGGGTCTTTTAGCAGCACAAAAGAAAATAGTGTCGGGAAGGGTAAGTTTGTAAACTTAATGCGTTTGTTTAAGACGGATTTTAAAAAAGGGGTTTTCAAAAAAAAATTGCTAAAATAAACTTATTTACATAAATATGATTATTCATTACTATAATGTAGTGTTGTGGTAACTTCAGTTCAAAACTTAAACATGAATTACTACGATTTCATTACTACTTTAGTAATTAGTCATATTTTTGTAAATCATCTTTATTTTGGTCATATTTATGTAATTATTTCTTAAAAAAAGAGGCTGCACTTGGTAAAAATAGGGTTGTATTTAGCATTTCCCTACAAATAGTTCGGGCTTTTCCAAACATCATCAATGTTGTTCTTTTCTTGTACAAGCCCATCATTAATGCAGTCATTCATCATTCTATATAATTGCACTACTTTTGGGAGCTCCATTTTCCCGCTGAAGCGTATTTCTATGTCAATCGTACGATCCACTAAATAAGATCTACGGCTTTCATTCTTTTCTCTTCTTGCTTCTCAAATCACTTTCCTTTCCATCAGAAAATCCGTTCAGCTTCTCATCCCTCTCACAATAACCAAATCACTCCTCTCATCTCTCCCCTCACTGAAACCAAATAGCTATCCTTTCAATCGGAAGAAGCACTCTTCATCTTTACAAGCTCCATGTCTAGCGGGACGATCCGCGCCTCTGAACGACACCCCTGCATTCAGCCTCTATGCCGCCACTTTTGATGACGCTTCCTGGGCCATCTTCGTCACTCAGGAATGAGGTATTGTGCGTGAGACATGTTTTATTAACTAATTTTATTCAATTTACTGAAAATAGGCTTTGATTTCACTCGAGCCTTAGAGTTCCATCTCTGGCCGTGAGTAGAGTTTCAGCGTCATTGTTTTACACATTAACATGATATTCTCTTTCTCTGTAAAATGGATTTGAAGGTTATCTCATCACAATAGCATGTAGATATGTATTTGTTGGCTAAAATTGTGAACCTGCATCTTTGTTGTTAACTCCTTAATTTTCACCTATGGAATTTCCGTTTTAGGTAAAGGAATGTTTCTGCGTGATGGATTTGCACATTATAAGATGCCTTGGATTTTCATTAAATAACTAACATTTAACATGCAATGATGATTTTTTAAACATTCTTATTCACTAAATGATGAATGTGATAATCAGGCACTGTAAATTTTGTATCACATATAACTCTGAGTTGTTTTTAGAATTTATATCAACTTGCATAGCATGAAAACTCATCAAGTTTATATACCATTGAAATCAGAAACATATACCTCTGATATACCATTGTGCTCTTGCTAGAATGATATCTAACAGAGAATCAGCTCGACCTTCTGTGAGTAGAAATTCGTTGTATTCTTTAAAAGGTTTTGGTGGAGATCACTTGCACTAATCTGTATTTCAAACATAATCCAATAAGAAAACACAGAGAAGGTAAATTAAAACATTAACATACGGAGTAAGTTTTACTCATTTTCTCATAGAAGTGATCTTCATGTAAGGGTGTACATTTTAAAAAAGAAATCTTTGCTAATTTGTCTCGGCCAAACAGTAGAATTGTCTTTAAATAATAGAATTTCTTTTATGAAATCATTTTTCATACTTTGGGTGTATTTCTATATTTATTATTATAAAAATGGTTTGGTTCTCCAAGACTGAAATATCCGCATTTGACTAATTATAAGATGTCTGATGTTATTATCCTTCCCACCAATTACTTCCCAGAAAGTACCTTCTTATTAGCTTTTGTTTGAATGGCAGACTTTGGAGGGAAGTGCATGAAAGTTGATTTTTGTTGGATGACCGTATTACTTCAAAAATTCTCATATCTGATTTGTCAAATTGAGATGTCTTTTTACTAATGTTTCATTCAATATTTTTTGCAGGAAGTAGGCCATAAGAGATCAAATATAGAATGAGTGCAAAGGATATGGAAGAATCACATGGTGACAATTTCATGTACATAATTGCAAATTCATTGAAATATAGCCGAATGTATTACACATACAAGAAATAACATGAAGGTTGGTTACACCCTTTGTTAGTTTATTCATGTACAGTTCACGTATAATACTCCCATTTATGAATTTTTCAGAAAATTCTGAAAAAATCACGTACTTTAAGGATAAAATGTGTAATACACGTACCGTACGTATTGATTTTTATTAAAAAACACCATTATAATGAAAACTAATGGAGTGGTACAACTAAAGAGAAGTATCTCGCGGCTCAATACTATTTATATTACTTAAAAAACTATTATGCCTTATACGTTGGTTAAATGTTTAATAGTTATTAAATTAGGTGCAGATGTCACACTCACAGACGAAATAGACCCAAGGTTAGTATTAAAAGATTATCATTTGATGGTCAAAGTTGATTTTGCTTTCTATGTAATTAATTTCCTGGAAATACAAAGATTACAGTTTTAGTGTTTCTTTGCTTGGGAGCTTTGCAGAGAAATGAAAGAGAGGTTTAGATTTCATTTTACCAATTTATCTCTATTCTTTATTTCCACATAATCATTTATTTCAAAATAGTTTTTATTCTTGCTTTATTTTCATCTTATAAATGTAGAAATTGTTCAAAAATCAAATATCATTCCTTTCCCTCAGATTCAAAATCCCCTAACCAAACTTTCCTGCTTGAAATTTGTGCCCAGGTGAAGATTGATAAACTTTTGATAGATCATTATAAGTTTAATTTCAAGTTCTATATCGTATCAGGATTTTTTATTTTTATCTTTTCGTTTTTTACTGTACAGTGTATACGACTTATTGTTTTTAATGACTACTTTATCAAGGAGGAACATAAATCCTGTATCCATTAACATAAGTTCAATAATTAGATTTGTGATTATAAAAAATACTTTAGTTGGAAGAATTAAGCTAGAATAGTAGTGTATTAACTATTAAGCATTTAAAATTTTCTATGATTATGTGTTCTAATCGTATTTGAAGGCTTGCTTTTGATTGTCTATGCTTTCTGAAAATAAAAATGAATATAAGAAAAAACTTTTCCTAGCAGTTTTTATGTTTACCTTTACCAATCAGTTTTAGGGACTGAAGTTATATCTCTAAGGGGTTTCAGTAGCAAATCTAAGAAATTCATCCCATTGGAAAACACTAACGCCTTTTCCAAATATTTCGTAGATAAACAAGTGACTGATTGGGTATGTAAGTTTTCAACGGGGTTTTGTTTTGTTAGATATTTAACGTTGGAAGAAGATATAGTTGTTATCTAAAGCGTGGATGGTTAGAGAATTTTAAAAAAAGAAATTTAAGAGTGAGGTGAAATAATATATTATACCTGGAGTATTTCACTATTATTCTGTCACACCTATAAGAAATATACATTGAATATGAGGATATGCTTATTTGTATAGACAAGGGCATATTATAAATTTATAATAGATTAATATGGTTTTAAAATATTATTAGAGTCATTAAACGTATCAAATGTATTTTGAACTGATGAAGCATAATTGAATCCCCTTATGAATTCTACTGCATCCCGAAGCATAATTGTGGAGAAGACGAGAAGTGTGGAGAATAATCCGTAATTTGGAACTCTTTGAGGATTATATTGTCCTAAGGTTATATTATCAATCTACTCTATTTATAATGGAAGTGTACAAGGTTTCATACTCTGGCTAAAAAGACTCTAAGAAGGGTTAAGTGAATACTTTTTTGGACAAATGTGCAATTGGGCCACACATAGATCGAATAGAGTCGGGGGAAGTCAAACTAAAGGTGTTAAGTCGTTAACAATATTACAGCTGATATATTTAAATATGTGGAAATGCAGATATGCCAGTTTGCAAAGATGAACCCAGACATAGAGTTTCTGCAGGTGAATTATGAGGAGCACAAGTCATAGATGTACGCGTGCTTCCCTTCTTTTGCTTTATAGATGATATGAAGGCCGTGTTTTGTAGCTTCAGCTGCACTAATGCCATAGTGAGTTCTGATGTGCTCTGCTCCCCCTCAGATCTCTTATCTTGATGCTTGTGAAGTAATATATCATCTTTGCCATCCTATACCATTTGAGTTTAGCATACCTTCTCCATGCCTATTCATTTACCCACAAAAGGAAATGCAAATGCTAGAGTAATTCCGTTTTAATTATTTTCAATTTATTAACCACAAAAGGAAAAGAATAGTCAAA